AGCCAAACGGCTCAGCGATTTTGAAGGTGATTTTTCTCTGGAAGATACCAGTGTTTATCAACTGCTTACAAAAATACTATTAAAATTTGAAAGGCAAAATTTTCAGAGGAATATTTAAAAAATGGCATACCCGAAAAACTTAGAATAATACAGTTCAAATGTTTGAAAAAATAAATTACAGAGTCCCATATCTAGCTAGTAACGCAAATCTATCAAAAACCGAGCTTAAACATCTATTAAGAATATCGGAAAAAGGGAAGGCACAGGCAAAAATTGTGGGCTGAATGCGGGTGTAGCCATATTGTCGACCGCACTTCACCTTTCTTAAAAGAAAATGGAAGAGAGGTTTCCCTCCTTTTCTTCGTGCCTGTTTCTGTTACAACTTATCATGCAGATGGTGTTATCCTGATCAAGTCAAATACTGCTTTCAATTCCACCATAAGCTATAGCTATAAGCACTAGAATTTTTCAACTATGACGCAACGACCGATCGAAGTAGGAAAATATTTAACTTCTACAACTTCCAGTTGATACTGCACTGAGCTCAGGATACTGTTGACTGATGTTCAAACTTCCTTGGAACGTCGAGTTGGTCTCATATTGCCAACACGACACAACTAGCAACAGTTTTCACCTTTTCAACATTTTATGTTACTGGGTATTGTATTTTTCTGTTGAATCGTTATCGTACATCTCCCAAACTCACCGTCCGCCACCTTCATCAGCATCTGACGTCATCGGTTCATCCGTTTGACTCGTCTCAGGACGTGACCTTAAAATTTAAAATTTGGTTAAATATTGGAAGAAAGGGATAAAGAAATACTAAAGCAAGACTTACTGCGCTTTAGTTTGCGAGGGAGCAGGAGCTGGCGTAGGCTCTTCATCCACGGTGGATCCTAGGAAAATTGGCTGAATGCGACGTTTTCCATCTGACGTTCGGACCTTGGAAATTAGTATTTTAAGAAAACAGGTTGATATTTCCAGAAATGGCGAAAATTCGTTGTTTGCTTACCTCAACTTGCTGTTGTCTCTGCTCTGTAAGAACTTTCGAAGCAGCGTTCTGGGTGTTCGACTT